AACTGACAGTCCCTACATATCTCGGGGACCAGGCGGGGTGACAGTACTCCAGATGGGTAAGCACTTCACTCTTGAAGATCGTTACAAGGGACGGACCATCTAGATATCTGAACGACCTTATAAGACCCAATAATTTATTTGCCTGATTTACCTTCTTCTAACGATGGCCCAAAAACTTCAGCTCATTGTCAACATACACACCTACAGTAGGTCCTTCTCACATTCAATCTCAAATAGTGCAGTTTCTTCACCCCATTGAGACATATGATACGCCTCCTTACCGTTGGTACGCCCCAGGTGCATCCTCTTACTCTTCGTGACATTGAATCTCAGCAGCCATTTCTTCGACCATTCTTGGAGCTCACAGAGATCCTTCCGCAGCTCTTCACAGTCCGCTTGGTTCTCGATTTCCAGAAATAATTTGGCGTCATCGGCAACCATTTGTATGGAGCAGTGTACAACGTCAGGCATGTCATTTATGAAACAAACAAACAACAGCGGGCCCAATACACTGCCCTGTGGTACCCCACTTGTGACAGGTACAGATGATGATATCGTGCCATTAATCACCACACACTGCTTGCGGTCATGTAGAAAGTCTTATATCCACGCTAGGACATTTCCCCGAATTCCGTACTCTTCCAGTTTGATTTTCAGCCTTTCATGGGGTACACTGTCAAAAGCCTTGGCAAAATCTAGGTATACATTGTCGATATTACCACCCCTCTCCATAATATGGGTCTAAATATCCAATACCTTGAGCAATTGTGTTAAGCAGGTATAAAACCGTGTTGGAAAACCTTTACAAGGTTGTTTCGTAGTAGATGTTCCATCGCGGCATCTCTGATAATATTCTCAAGTACTATACATATTTTGCTGGTCAGGCTCACCGGTCTATAGTTGTTCGCGGAGTGACGATCGCCATTCTTGAAGGTAGAACTCGCATGGCATGTATCTGAGGTGGGGGATGACCCACACTTCTCTTCCTGTAAACTCTCTAAATGTCCCAATGTCAACACCCTTCAACACTACTGTATTGTCTTGACTGTCCCACCGTCAGGAACCTCCTACCACAGGGAGTCACTAACCACTGTCACAACCTACTTATTCATAATAATTTAGGTTTAATTATTGTACGCTACCTACGCTTTCGTGGGTGCTAACTCCCATTGTCCTTAAATCAAATCAATATTGTCTCCATATCACAAGTCATAGCGTGTCCTGCGAGACACAAGTACCACTGTATTAGTGTCTGACCGCATGGTCTTGTGACAAGGCTTGTCGCCTCCTGGGGTGTAATAAATTAATTAAGTAATAAATAATAAGCCCAGCAAGACTAAACAAATGCTCACAAGCAGCAGATACAGGTAGTGGGGTGCTAAGCTTGATAGGTAAGTCACATAATGTTGGGGAAGACCTCAGTAGCTCCATTCCATCTCCTGGACATGCCAAGTAGCTATCAAGCTCCTTCAGTTGAGGAATTTGTGGATGACTGTTGCCTCCATAGTGACAGAGTCTAAGACTCACCGTGAACTGTTCCTCTAATTGGGGTGTGGCTGTGGTGACGTCACTTTTTTATTCTAATTGATGAATGGCTGAATTTTTTACATCACATAACATCTAGCGGGGGGGGGGGGTCAGTGGTGCTTAGTTACTGGTATTTAGGCAGAATTTTTGATACACTCAGTCTCACACATACTGTATGTATAGAGACAGAGTTTAAATCTAAGATGGAATTATGTAATTCACTTTAGAATCACAACCTCTTTGAAATTCATTTTAGGTACAGGTACAGTACAGCTCCTACCCAACTTACGACGGGGTTAGGGACCCAAATCCAGGTCGTAAGTTGAAAGTGTTTAAATAATACATAAAAAAATCTAAAATGGGTGTCTCTTTTTCTTCTCAGCACCACAAAACTCTCACTTTTAAGCTTGCCAACCATTTTAAAGTGAATTACAAACGAAAATTTTGTCAGTACACAGCGCAATCACTGACGTTGGGACTCGAAAATACGTAATTTGACAACATTTTGATACGACTGAGGCGGTTGTGTGTCCGGGTGGTCGTAAATTGAGTAGGTCGTAAGTTGGGGAAGAGCTGTATATGCAAAGAGCAACTGATGCTTAATGGAAAGACTAGCCTTCTGAAGGAAAGGTGGGGAAGAAGAGAGGGGGGAGATAAGAGAGTAGGCCAGGTGAGGTGGGTGGTCAAGGTGCTAATGGACACAAGAAAATCAGAGGGAAAGTCTGCTGTCATGGTCACTGCCAACTGACTTAATATCACCTCACCTCACGAGACCTCTAGGTATGTGACCGCCTGGTGTCTCCCCACACCGTACCCTTCACGACTCCACTCATACCATACCCTCCACCCACACAAGTGTTTTACTATGGTTAATAATTAACTAAATTAAAAAATATATTAATTTGCATGCAACGAGTAACGATTTTTGTTTTTCAATTGTATTGGAGTAAAAGTATTAGAAAGGCATACTTCAGGAAAAGTACTAAAAATTTGAGTACAGTGTACTTTTTAAAAAGTAAATACAGTACCCAAAATTTTTATTTGAGTACAGCAATGAAGTGTTTTTATTTAGTTACTTTACAACTCTGCTTCCCAGACATATTCAGAGTTACATTGCTCACTTCAGTCACAAAAACAGAGCAAAAGCACTTGTCACAAAAGCAGAGTGAATGATGATAACAAAAACATTGATAGTGACCAACACTGCTCACATTTCAAAACAACAGTGTTGACGCACCTTACACTCACAAAAACACGGAAAATGTCACTTCACAGTCACCATAACACAGTTCATTCTAAATGTTAGTGCTGTCCTTTCACTATATAAGAAAAAAGATAAATATTGTACAATGTATGATGCTGGCCAATAATCGTGGAGCCATGTGATGGCGAGTTAATAATCAACAAAGAACCAAGCACAGGGCTGTAGTGTGAAGGTTGGTCGTGTTGTGGCGCGTGGGTAGGCTTACAAGTGAAGGTACCGTAGTGATGTGTCGTACATAGGGTTAAATATTGTTTCTTTATAAAATGTCACTGACTTGACATAGAAAAATATAATTTGCATTGCTGGAATCCTTGTAAGACAGCGATTAATTTGAGTACAGTACATACAACCCATAGTATGCACTACAGATATAAAAAAAAGAATTCCAACCAATGGATATCGATGGCTATCCAATGGATATTAAAGCGAATTACTGTATTTTGATCGTATGTAGCGAGACGGTCTTCATTTATGACCATCATTAAAGCGGAATATCGGTGATCAGGATATCGTATCTCAAGGTTTACCTGTACTGTACACTGGTACAGTACAGTACCTGCATTATCTAAAGTACAGTATTGTACATGCTGAACCAATTGTAAATTTCAAGGATGATTATACAGTGGCCCCTCGGTTAACGAACTCAATCCGTTCCAGAAGGTCGTTCGTTAACCGAAACGTTCGTTAACCGAAACCATTGTTTCAATGGGTTTTTGGGTAATTGGTTCCAGCTCACCGAAAATTTCCTAAATTCAACAAAAATGGTAGAAAAGTTCACTTACTTTGAGGTGTGTATGTAGAAGGCTCCTGGATGATGATGATGATGATGGGATTTAGAATGGGGGTGGAGGAGAAGGAAGAAGAGAAGGCATTGGGGTGGAAGAGAAGTCACCCCATGGTGCCATTTCACCCATAAAATTTTAGCTCTCTGGTTTAATTCAAGATTATTTTCTTTAAATCAACGCTGCACTGCATTATATATTGTCAATATATAAAATATATTTCAAAATGACCAATAATTTGCTTGGAAACACAGAAAAAAAGCGTTTAGTTGAAGAGAGTCTCAAGCAAGATGTTACCTCCAGTGAAAACAGAGAGAGACTGACGCCTGTTTGCTGTGTTAAGAGGCTGGATGCCGCGCATTAAACTAGTCACTTTACCTTCAATTTTGTTCAATAATTGTTAAAATGACTAAAAAATTGAATATTAAACTTTTAAAATTATTGAATAGTATAAACTTCTTGATATTTACAAAAATAGTAAGGAATTTAAGCCCTAGAACCGATTAATGTATTGGCGGACTGATACTAAAGCTGGTTGCCCTGTCAGTGCAAGCGAAAACATGTTGAGGTCGGTTCGTAAGAAGTTCGTTAAGCGAATTTTTTTTCGTTAACCGAATTGAAGATCCTTATGGAAGGCAGTTCGTTAATCGAAATTACGTTAACCGAGGTGTTCGTTAAACGAGGGGTCACTGTACTGAATAAATATCTATGTACTGTATATCTAAATTAGGTAAAGACAGAGCAGGCGGTTACTAAGCACCAGAACACTTTTATAGATTTTTGTCTTCATATTTTCCCATTATGCTTTGTATGATATTAAGTAATAAAATCAATACAACTTTTTATTTTCATTATAAATATTTTTGTTCCTTTTTCTCTATCTACAATCATAAATCACTTTGAAGGTTGGGGGAAATTGTTAGGTAAAAACATGGCATAAAACTGATCAAAGGACACTTGAATCAAGTCTCTACATGCTTTTTACGCGAAGAAATTTAATTTTTACCATAAATTTTCCACTCAAAATTTCTGGCCTGTTGTCGTCCCATTGTAAACAAATAAATTCTGATTCCGGTCTTGCTTAAATTATCATTAAATAATGGACTGTCTTATTTGGGATTCACTACCTTTATTAAAGGCTTGAATGCCTTTTTTAATTTTAACCTGCGCTATCCAGAGTCGTGTGTCTATAACCTATGCACATCCCATCTTATTTTTTATTTCCACACAATAAGTTCTTAAACATATTTATTTTATCATTAATGAGGATCATATTGTTGGAATAGATTAATTTCCAATACCTTTTGAGTAGCATTGAATTCTAAATGAACTGTATGTTTGTACAGTATACTGTACTATTGTTCACCTCAAGCCACATTGTTTTTCAATGGTGTCCTTATTAAGTCATGTTCGGTATCATATCATAGTGAGTTATCTGTGCTTGTGGAGGATGAAGACAATCTCCAAGAGTTCATCTCTCAACATCGACTAGTTGGCAGGACGCGCAAATGTTCAAAATGCTGCAGAGTACTGACAGTGAAAAAGAAATACAACCTGTATGTGTTTCAGTGCAAAAACTGATCACAATCTCGCATTCACAAAAACTGTGAAATTACACCATGCTGCTTCAAGATAGTTGCTTCCAGACATCAAAGTAAGTTCTTTCTGCCTAATGTGCTGGGGCTAGGAAGTTAGGTATGGAAAGTTAGGTTTCATTGGTGAGGTTGGTTCTATTAGGTTCTGTGCAGTCTCGTTTCCATTTTCGTATTTAGCATCATTCAAATACAGTAGTATCTAAAAAAAAAACTTAGGTTCAATTCCATGTTGTTTCTACCTTTACCCTAATTAATAATTTTCATGTCCTTACCTGCACTAGATCCAAGATGCCCATTGACTTGTACTACCTCAACCTCTCACCGTACTGCCGCTCTGTACTGCTCACTGCTAGGGCAGTTGGGGTTGAACTCAACCTCAAGACAGTAAACCTGTTCGCCAAGGAGCAGCTCAAGCCAGAGTTTGTGGCCATCAATCCTCAACACAGTGTCCCCACCTTGGTTGATGGTGACCTTGTGCTCTGGGAAAGGTCAGAAGATTTACCTGTAATTCTAGTCTGGTTAAACTTTAAATCACCAATACCTGAACTGTACTGTACAGTATTCTATTTTATCCAACTTTCAATAATAAAGACAAATAAGTAAGATGATAACTACAAATATGACACTGATAGCAGTAATAATGCTAATGATAAAATAATATACTGAACTAAAAATAGTAAAACAAGAAATCAACTAACTATAGTATGAAGACCCTTCATTGTTTGTCTCCATATCCTCTATTCCTTCAGTACTCTGCTTGTCTATTTCTTCTTTTTCCAGCACATGGACTTAAAGTAAAGTACAGTAGCCAGTAGCCACCTTATATTCTTAAACTACAAAGGTGTCTCAGCCAGTGTAGGAATAATGAGTTTCTTTCCTTTCAGTCGGCCCATCTGCACGTACCTCATCTCTCAGTACGGGAAGGATGACTCCCTCTACCCAAAGGAGCCTAAAGCCAGAGCCAAGGTGGATGCCCTTCTTCACTTTGATATAGGCACTCTGGCAGCCTGCTGGACTGCTATGATTGTGAGTATCACCGTAGATTAAGTTAACTTAGTGGAGTGAGTGCAAGTTCCTGGAGCATTATGTGTTTGCAAGAACTGAACTTGAGTCAGCCTCTACAAGCCAAGACCTCAATCAGTAAACTGTACTCCTTTATACTTTGAGCTGTGGGCCCCTGGAATGACCTTTCATTCAATGTTGTCAATTCAGGAACTGTAGAAAACAAAAAGAAATGCTTTGTTGTTCACTTGAAGGCAGTAGAACAGGGAGCTAGTAATACTGTAATACCTGCACAGATAATTTTAACAAACATACTAATGTCTTGATGGTCATACAACACACTGATGTCTTGGTGGTCATACAACATACAGTAATATTAACTTGCTTTAGATTAGTCCTTTACTGTTGTTACCACTTTAGAATCTGGCTGTAGGACTATCACATTTCATGGCCAGGTGACTGTGTTAGGGCGAGAGAGCAGAAGCCTTTGAAGATTCGTGGGAGACAACATATTACTGAATATTAAAAATCTGAATTGTCTTATTACTTTGCAAGCTGCAGTACAACCATTGAACTAGTGCGCATTACTCTGCCATCTTCCTGTATCATCATTGTACTTTAAGTTTGATTTTAATTATAAAATGCATTCTTTTTATGTCCATATTATTGTACAGAATTTCTATACTTAAACAAGTATTTGCTTATTGTGTAATTCACTGTCTTAAATAAATGTCACAGTAAGTGTAAGTCGTTGAATTGTATTTTCATTAGCTTACAGGTGTGTTTTATTCGTAAGTAATTATTATTATTCCTATTTATTTCTCTTATATTTACACCATTATACATTTTAAAAGATGTGCGATGTAAATTGACCCCATCCAAGATGCTGAAGCTTGTGTAGACACCCATTATTACCTGTAAAATCTGAAGAGATAACCGAGATCATTTTACCAAGCAGTACAGGTGACAGTTAATGATAACTTGGAATGTTCTAGGTCAACAGTCAATTGGCATATGGTCAGACTATCAAGTTTTCTGGACATTTTTATTTCTTTCGCAAACTATCCTCTAAAATCTATGCTCACAACTCTTGCTACACTCCATTCTTGGTTACTCAATGTTACTGTACATGATCAAAAGATTATTGAACGTCAAGAACATAACTGTGATATCAATGATATTTTTCAAAATTAAATTTATCATTATACCACTTACCAGCAGTTCCCTTTGTTACATTTTTAGGCACCAGTGAAGGCCAAAGAATTGCCAAAGCCAGAACAGAAGAGCGTAGACAAGTTCCACGAGGCACTGGGTTGGTTAAATGGCTTTTTGAGCCACAAGAAGTATGCTGCCGAGACAGATCACATAACTGTTGCCGACCTCGTCCTCGTGGCCAACGTCTCCAGCTACGAGGCAGCCGGGTTCATCATCAACGACTACCCCAACATTTCTGCTTGGCTGCAGCGTTGTAAACAAAACATTGATGGGTATGAGGAGCTCAATGGTGAGAGTGCCAAGAAATTGGGAGAGTATATAAAGTCCATGATTACTGAAAAGTAAAAATGAGGAGGACCCTGGCATTCACTGAAGTGCCAAGATGATGAAAGTTATCATATCTGTCATTTCTAAAAGTTTCTGGTTTACACCTCAAAACTGGTTGGGATTTTAGTCACTATAAAACATTGAGACTGTGTGATGAGAATGATGCATGATCTACTAGTCTTTGGTTGTTTATATACAGTACCAAAACATTGAGATACTGTACAACATTCAGTAGTCACTTTAAGTAACTTAAAAGGATAAGGTTTATTTCTACAATAAAATATTGTAGAAATGAAAAAAAAAGTTCATTATATACAGCAGCTTTACTCTTAGCCAAGATAATTTTAGTGTAAGGACATTTCTTAGGTTTCACAAAAAATTACAAGCTTTCCTCTACTGTGTTTCTGCAACATGTGGCCAACAAGGTAACAAGTTGACATTTATGTGAGAAATTCTCAGTACAGTGTTTACAATGTGATAACTTGTAATTGTTTGACAATAAATGGGAAATTTTTTTATTACTGAAGTACAGTAGTTTGTTTTATTCACATGAGATCATACAAATGCAGTTATTTAGTGTTTAACCACTGGCACAGTTGTTTAGTTTGCCCAGAATATAAAAAAAATACCAAAAATCATAAATGAAATATTACAGCAATTAACCCTCTGTCGGAAATCTCATCCCCTCGTGGTCTTTCAACGCAAATAGCATCGATTACAATCTCACCCTCGATGCAGGTTGCATCGGTAGTAGGAACAGTATTTTTTATTGGGTAGAATGATCCAGACCCATTTTACAACCTTATAGATGCATTTGTGGGAGGAACTAACTGTACAGTACAGGGAGGTGCCCCCCCCCCCCTCCCCCCAAGTTTGCAGATATTTATTTCGCGGTGTCTATTATTCGTGGATGTACCCAACAATGTCTGGATAGTTTTAAAATTGCCAGCATTTTTGCGGCTGGGACAGGGAGCCATTCATTCTAGAAACCGTAATTTCCTTTACCTGTACACCCACCTCTCGTTTTATGCGGGGGTTACGTTCTTGAAAATCACCACATAATTAAAAAAACGCGTAAAATAAACATAATTTTCCCATAAGAATGCATATAAATGGTACAGGTTAGGGGGAAAATCATATAACTGTCACAATAAGTATTCTTTTACCTTACTCGTTAATAAAGAAAAAAAGTTAATAAAGGAGAAACAATAGGAAATACATCTTAACACTTACATTAACAACTGGCAACTTCTGCTTGCCCAAGGTAGGGGAGGGTTGAGGAGGCGAGGGTATGGGTGAGTCGGTGGTTGAGGGCAGGGGGGGTGGGGTGAGGTAAAGACCAACCAGCAGGGAGATTACTAACCCAGACGTCGTTATCAGCCATACAGAGGAGTTTAGTTTTTCGCTTATAAAATGTCAATGAATTGACTTGGGAGAATATAACTTACATTGCTAGATAGTGATTAATTTGAATACAGGTTGTACCTCTCTAGTCCGGCAACCTCGGGACCTGACCGGTGCCGGACCATGGAAATTCACCCTTTTCCTGGATAGATAGTGACCTATGCTTGGAAGCACAAGCACCACTTTCTCTGCATCATGGTCTCTTTGAAGACATGTTGAAGGGTTAAATGTCGTATAGTGGCTTCTCAAATTTCGCGAGTTTTTAATTCAATGTATTTTATTGGAACACAAAAAAAATAAATAAATAAAAATTTTGAGGGCGGAAACTTGAATTTCGACGGGTTTGAACGGCCCACCAATGTGCAGACGACGTGCATAATCGTGTAAACAGCGTCATTTCTCTTATGTACAAAAGATTCATTATTGTTTATTACTGAATGTCTTTTTTATTGAATTAATGTTTATGTGTGCAAAATGAGCAATACAATTCATTAATAATACGTAGAACATTAAAACACGTGAGGAAATGACACAGCATTGGTTTCGTTGATTACAAAACCAGTGACTGACTGGTTCTACATATAAAACTGAAGAAAATAAGACCTTGGTTGTAGCTGTAGTAAAATTAATATGGTTGTTTTAAGTAATGTTAATAAATGGAACAATAGAAGTAGCTAACGATAATGGTAAAGAAAAAAGAGAGATCACGTATGTAAGTGCGCACACGTGAAAACATATCGTCATTACTTTACATAAGAATATGAAAGCAACACTTATTTACTGCTCATATATATTGAAGGGTTAAATGTTGTACTCTGTATAGACAAGCAGAGAGAGAGAGAGAGCAGCCGAACTGCCGGATGTAAACAAACCTTAATTTCCCGCGGCTTTGTTGTTTTTTTTTACGGGGATTAGCCCACCCGGGCATAGGTCACTGACCCACATTGGGGCCTGAGGGGCAAAAATTTAATACTCCTGTAATAATAATAATAATTCAGATAAGTTATAAAAAAAAAAAAAAAGCTTCCTATCTACCTATTGGACAAACTAAAATCGTTCCGGACCACAGAATGCCGGACTAGAGAGGTACAACCTGTATAAACGTGCTGCTGTATAGTTTTCACTAGACCTAAAAAAAGATTATTTATCATGTAATACATTTGAGTACAGAACAGGTTTGTTCTTTGGACAATTATTTTTTTTACTTTTCTCACTATGTATTTAGGATGGTGTGTGCATGTAAAGGAGTAAAAATATATGAAGAAAGTTACATATATCTACCCAAAAATACGAGTTGAAAAACGTGTACTTAAATGTACTACACTATGGGACTAAAATTTTTATCTTGTGCAAAATATATGATGTACTGTATACACGCCTCGCCATTGCATTATTCTTGAGGTGGCTGACGAGAAGTGATCTTTGCTGAAGTGTCTCACACCTCTCCTCGCCAGCCAGCTGGGGCTGAGGCAGAAATTGTGTGTGGCAGCGAAGTGAGACTCAATGACAAGTCAGCCAGCAATCAAAACATTAACCAGTTGCCCCCATAAATTTTGTGAACGAAGATTTATGAATTTTACCCCCAGAAATTGCCCTTATTTATTGCCACAATGCCCGTTGTTTCTTTGTTTTTTTTACCACAATGGGCAAGAGGAAAGATTTAACAAAAGAGCAGATAGTGTCAATTATTAGTCTGCATAAGGGCCAGAAACCTGTAAAGGAAATACAGTATCAAGAATTGTTGGTGTGAGTGAACTATCAGTTCAGATTTGGACAATGATTTCAAGATGATGGCGGGTTGGTAATACCAGTGCACAGCGGACGGCCAGGGAAGGCTCGAAAAACTTACCAACACACGTTAACGGTTCTCAAGAGGCATCTTGAGGCTAATCCACATCTGTCAGCATGGGAATTGAAAGAAAAAACCCTGAACTTCTAGGTGATGTTTCTGTAAGGACCATTCACCGCCGCACCATGACGACCTTGTGGGGTTCAGGATGTTTGGTTCACACTCAGGATGGAATGGAGAAAGGAAACTCACAATGTGCTCTCTATATACATGTTGTATTGGATGTACAATGCAGCTTGGTGCTGGGAAGGCAGCATGGTTACAAGCGTGATGTAGAGAGAGCTGATTGGTGAAGATGCTCAGAGAAGGACAGCTTGTGGGTCGCCATGCTCGCCGGCGGGAGCGAGGACCGCCAGGCAGGCGGAGGAGGAGCGAGGGCCGCCAGGCAGCAGCGGAGGAGGAGGAGGAGTTGTTGCTAGCTGGTTGGTGTAAGTAGAAAGAGGGAGGTCGCCACGAGGTCAGGTCTTAAATAGCGGGGGGTAGGCGTGGCTTAGTAGTTGACCCCCACTCCGTGATGTATGGCGGCACTGGTTGACCTAGACCACGAGGCATATACTGGGGAATTGGTGGGGTCGGCTACTCAGCGACAAACAGCGTTTGTAGGGGAGAAATCCACTACATTACTCCCCCTTCCCTCCAGGCGGTGTAGGAGACTTGTTGTCTGCAGGGTTGCTTAGCACATGTGAGGCAGAGCGGGCGGTGCATGCCTCATGTGAGACAACGGCGATGGCATGGATGAGCCTGTCGCTGGATACAACTGTCTAGATACACACTATCTGTGGCAGAAGAGAGGGAGAAAAAGGGTGTGTGGAGGCGATGAATGTTGTGCTTCCCTCATGGCAGGTACAGAGTCGTCAGATGCGCCTGCTGGGGTGTGTGGGCCTGGGTCAGAAGCAGGGGCTGCGTCAGCAGAAGCGGATGAGGGCTCGTGACAACAGCTGGGTGCAGGACATTAGCAGGGAGTACCTGTGGGAGAAAAGAGGGGTGTGTGGGTCCGCACTCAGGAACAGAGACCGCATCAGGGGCGGCAGGGGTTACTGTTGGGCCGGGGGCGGCGTCTGAGGCAGGACGGGTGTGCTGGGGTCGGAAGAGGAGCGACTGTCTGCTTAGAGTAGCAGAGCCGCTCTAAGGTGTCTAACCTGGGGTGTAGAGACAGTAGTTGTAGAGCCGATGAGAGCTGCTTCTGTATGGATAAGCCAGTCTTCCATGTTGCTTGAAGACTGGGAGCGTGATCAGTTTCTCCTCCATCCTGTGTGAGTGCGAATCTCCGGGGTCACCAATTGTGGGGTTCAGGATGTTTGGTTCACACTCAGGATGGGATGGAGAAAGGAAACTCACAATGTGCTCTCTGTATACATGTTGTATTGGATGTACAATGCAGCTTGGTGCTGGGAAGGCAGCATGGTTACAAGCGTGATGTAGAGAGAGCTGGTTGGTGAGGATGCTCAGAGAAGGACAGCTTGTGGGTCGCCATGCTCGCCGGCGGGAGCGAGGACCGCCAGGCAGACGGAGGAGGAGCGAGGGCCGCCAGGCAGCGGCGGAGGAGGAGGAGGTGTTGCTAGCTGGTTGATGTAGGTAGAAAGAGGCAGGTCACCACGAGGTCAGGTCTTAAATAGCGGGGGGTAGGCGTGGCTTAGTAGTTGACCCCTGCTCCGTGATGTATGGCAGCGCTGGTTGACCTAGACCACGAGGCATACACTGGGGAATTGGTGGGGTCGGCTACTCAGCGACAAACAGCATTTGTAGGGGAGAAATCCACTACAACCTGCAGTTTCGCAGCCACCGCGCACGCAGGAAGCCACTTCTCACCCTTGTCCAGAGGCAGCGTAGGGTCACTTTTGCCAAGGCTAACTCTCAGTGGGATACAACCTCGGGGCCTGACGTTGTACACTCCCCCATATAAATGTTTGCGGATGATGCCAAGTTATTTAGGGAAATCAAGAACCAAGCGAACTGTGAAGAGCTGGAGAAGGGTCTCTGTTGTAATGACCATGGTCGGACATGTTAGTTCACGTAAAATCACACGATTCATATTACGTTCAATAGCCCACAAAACATGTAGCTATGCCTTCATTATTGAGTCCCCCGTCTGAGGCATCCGTTTTCTCATCGCTTCAAGATGCCCGAGTCCTCTGTTTTCCCATTTTCTCTGACTTCCTGAAACCAACCTCTCTATAAAGTAAATTTGAATGTGAGAGAGAACACCATTGTTTTGAGTCAACTTAGATATGTCTGATTACACTTAGAGCATTCAAGATCCTTTATGAGTGGTGTTGAA